TCTTCACTATTCCCAACTTTTGCATTCCAGTCACCCATTATTATCAACGCATCTTGAGTGCATGTTCGATCTATCTCTGACTGTAAAAGTTGGTAGAAATCATCTATTTCTTCTTCTTTGGCTCTGGCTGTTGGTGCATATATCTGAATGATTGTGGTATTTACTGGGCTTCCTTGTAAGCGTATGGATATAATCCTGTCACTCACAATGTTGTACTTCAAGACGGATCTAGAAATTACTTTTTCGAGTGGAAAACTTCTGGATTTCTGGGAAGTGGTTGTGGATCTTGGCTGCTTCTCGCTGGCCCTTCACGATGAGAGGAAAAATCAGGCAGCGGGCAACAACTGTGCATGTTGCAATGGCTCCCCACCATGGTAGGCCCATGTCAACATGCATAAATTCCAGGAAGTTCTGGATCAGTCCCACTGGGGTGTATGACCCAAGCCCCAGTTCAGCGAAGCTCTGTTCTGCGGCAGCTTGGACAATATCTGCAGTCTCTCCAGGCAGCACTTCAGTCACTGCTGTAGGTGAGGAAGTTACAGGAACAACTGGAGGAGAAGCCTGGCTTCTGCAAAAGAGATGACAGATGTACTGAGGCAGCGAGGGCTGGGGACTGCAAGGAGGCCGCAGCACGGGCGCCCGCAGCGCTGGCCGGCTGGGAACAGGAGTCTTGTGTTCAGCGGTTTGCGGGGCCAGCGTGATGGCACCGTGATGCTGTGGAACTGATGCTTAGCCCGTAATAGGAACAGAAGCCCAGGCCGCCGGCACATCAACCCCATCGCCATTTTTGCCCGGAAGCCAAAATTAAATTTTACACTAACAACTTTAAAACATGACAGAATTAAAACAACACTCAAAGAAGGGGGAAAAAAACCCCAATTTATAATTTTGTTCTGAAGAAGGAAGCAAGGAGAAATACCAAAGGAAATGATTCAAAAGCTACAATGTAAAATTGCTAGGAAGTAAGTAGATGCAGGGAGCTCTGGTGGCCTAGTGGCAAGAAACTGCATTGCAATCCCAGGAGTACATGGTTCAAATCCACCAGATGCTCCGCTGGAGAAGGAGGAACAATGTCCTCCTGTACCAGTCAGATCCGATTTTACACTACACACACACACACACACACACACACACACACACACACACACGAAGTAAGTAGATGCACAGGAAGGCAATGGGTGCGACCAAGATGCACTCTAAATAAAAAATTATTTATAAACAATAGGTAACAGTTGCTGTTAAAAAGATCAGATAAATGTTAAACTCACATGCTTCAAAGGGTTTTCTTTTTTTTAAGGAAAAGTAAAAACAAGAGGAAGCTTCCCTCATGGCAATGGATTGAACCAGTGATTGTAAGGATGGGTTTAAGCATGACACAGACTGTGAAGATAGCACTGGACAGGGTAAAGTTGTTCACAGGGTCGCTAAACATCAAGCGTTGTTGATATGACAGCACCTACCAACCAACCAAAAATCACAGTAGTAAAGGATATGCAATACGCCTTTTCAGCTTCTGTTAACTCACACAAGAGGAAATAGCCCATCCGTTTCTTATGGAGGAGCTGGTAGATTCAGATCATCTGCTTTTGAGTTGGCAGCACAAGTCCTTATTCCTTAAAGGTTTATGTATGAATGTATATGCATTTCATCTATTTCATTTTGTTTAGTAAGACAAACCCTCTTGCCTCCCAACCATTCTTTGTCTTGCAAAGGCTGTTTTTTTGTTTTTGTTTGGGGTTTTTATGAAATTTTTTTAAATTTTATTATTTTTTTTGTGCATGTACGGTCAAATCAGATCTAACTGGTACAAAAGGAGATAGTCCCTCCTTCTCCAGCAGAGCATCTGGTGGATTCGAACAAGGCACCTCTGGGATTGCGGTGCAGCTTCTTGCCACTAGGCCGGCCATCAGAGCTCCCTGCAATGGCTGTATTTTGACGTAGATTGTAAGGCTGTCTCCCAAGGCACTGTAGGTAGACTCAAACCTCCAATTTTGTGGGAGCACAAGTCACCAAAGGGGGGGGGGGGGAGGCGGAGACAAGCAACTCTTTTAAATGGTTTACAGCCTCTGCGAACCTGTTGGAGGGTAGGCTATGAGTCCACTGATGATATGGCAAAGGGTTCTGGGTTGCTTTTTGTAAAATAAATACTCCCCTAGAAAAGTTCCTCATCCTTAATACATAGCTTTGTTGTTTGGCTGCGCTGTTGAGTCACCTACTCCTCATAGCTATTCAGTAAACAACAGATAGGAACTTTCTGGCAGGATTATACATAACACGCTAGGGCCCAGAGTTCATTATAGAACCCAGATGTTGTTGCTAGTTACCACCTAGAAGACTGCAACCCTATGAACAACAGATCTGGACCCTGTCCTGTCCTGTGCCATCCTCATCATTTGACACATTTGAGCCCACTGCGGCAATCACCGTGTCAATGCATCTCATCACGGGTTTTCCTCTTTTTTGCTGACCCTCCACCTTTCCGAGCATGAATTCCCTCTCCAAGGAATAGCCACATGCTCACAGCAAATGAGACAAACCTTTGTCATCTCTGCCTCCACGAAGCACTCTAGCTGCACCTTCACAAAGACGCACCCAGCGGCAATCGGGGGCAGTCAGCACGTTTCTCCGCAGTTCAAAGGCACCGATTCTCCAGGTACAACCGCGCGACATTCACAATGACTTCTTTTCCAGTGCAAGGGCCCTGACCAGCCCCTTACTTGGCGGTCCTTACCTTGCAGCGCCCGCCGGAGCTTTTCCTTTCTCTCGTCAGCCGTTTGCCGGGCTTCCTCGCGGGCCTTGCGGTACAGGTACTCGCGGCGTAGGCGGGCCTCGCGTCGCAGCTGGGGAAAACGACGGGTCATCCTCCGCCCGTACGCCAGACCACCCTCGGGCAGCCCCGGGGAGGCCCGTACTGCCTACCATAGCGGCCTGCTCGCACGTGGGTCGGGATTCGAGCACCTTTGCGTCACGCCGCCGTCGGTCCTTTCCGCGGAAGGCCAGCTGTCGCGGTCCTTCCGGCCTCGAGCAAACTGGAACTGAATCCCAAAGCCTACAAAGCTCGACTGGCACGCGGTGTCGGTTCGCACCCTCGGCCTTTGCTGTAGCCTAACTTTGACACTGTGATAATCTGAGTCCAGAAACCGTAAAGCAAAAGGAATGAAGTTAACAATCTCTCCTCCCTTAATAAAAATTTTTGCTATACATTTTCACCATCTTTCATCCTGACAGCAGCTGCGTGACTGAAAATGCGACTGTTTCTTGAAGCGGCTCAGAATCACCACAGCCCACGCCAACCGGATAGTTCTTGGTCCTGCCGGTGAGAATGAATTGATGCGCGAATTGGGCCTTTGGATGCTCCGTAGCTAAGAGTGTCTGTTCTTCAAGGATTTCGAGCGCTGATTCGCTCCCCAGTTGAAAGTGCCCACCCTCAGGCTGTCGCCTGTGCTGACAGACTTCCCCCTTGTCTCGTGCGCCGATTGGCTCCTTCCTTAAGCATGGGCATTCTCTGAAGGTTTCGTGCCCGGATTGGTTGTTAACCAGCTTGCGGGCAGCAATTGGATTAATTTAACGTGCGCGTCGGGTTCTAGGGTCTATTTGTGTAGCCCATGGCGGGGTTAAGCGTGCGAGAGGAGTTGGACTCACTGCTACTGCAGCTGCTCCGGGACTTTGAAGAACTAGAGGCGAAGCGGGCAGCTTTGAACGCCCGAGTAGAGGAGGTGGGACCTGGGGCTGTGGTCGAGCGAGTGGCCACATGAACTTAAGTAAGACTCACCACTCCACTCTCTCCTCAGGGTTGGTTCTCGCTCTCCAAGGCTCGTTACGCCATGGGTGCCAAGTCTGTGGGTCCTCTGCAGTATGCCTCCCACATGGAGCCCCGCTGTTGTGTCCACACTAGGTGAGGAGACATGGAGATGGAGGGCCGGGCTCAAGCAGAACCGGGATAAGGGGGGAGGCCGGCAAGGGGACCGGCCAAGGCCCAGACTTCCTTTCCTTATCCTTTAGCGAGGCTCAGGATGGACTCCAGAGGCTGTGGATGGTGAAGACGGCCGGTCGGAGACCAGAAGACGTGGGCCCACAAGAGCCAGGTGAGCGCCCGCCTTCGGGTCGGAAGCCTTCCCAAGACCAAGACACAGTGCACTTGACAGCAGTGAACTGGTGCAGTCCTTTTAAGCGCAGGATTGCCAACTGCACGGTCGATGGTTAAAATCCACTGGCTGTCTTTTGGGAGAAAGATGAGGTAGGCTTTTTCTGTAAAGATTTACAGCTTTGGAAACCCTGTTAAGATAGGTCTGCTATGTCCTGTGGGGTGACTGAGTTTCAGTCGACTCCGCAGCGATGGGCTTTTTGCTTATCTGTAGGCAAGAGTAGACAGTTGGGATTATGCTGCAAAAGGGGGAAATCCTGTGTTTGACCTCATAGATAAACAAGAGGGTCATATGAATCCTGTAGGTATCAGGAGGATAGTTGCTTGAGATTCTTATCTAAGTGACATGGGAAATGGTAAGTCTTTGCAGTAAGCTGTTTCTCATGTCATAGTGAAAATACTGTGCTGCTCTTCAGCTACAAAGTAAGTCTTCCTGAAGGAGCTGATTCATTGAAAATGGAAGACATTAAAAACAATCCAGACAAGATGGTACATGTTCTCCAAATTGCAGAGATTATCTTTTGAAAGCTGAGGTAACTAAAGAACATGTGCTGGCAGGCCAGAAAAGGAGGGGAAAGCATGGTAAAAGTCCCCATAGTTTCATTAGACTTCAAACCTAGCTTGTCTGTAAGCTTACTTAGTGGTTTTGAGACTGTTACAGACTGCTAGTTGTTCAACAGAGCTTTCAGTCAAGAGCCAATTTCCACCGTTTTCCTTATCCTGACAAACTCAATTTCTATCTTAATTACAAATTTTAAAGGGCCACGATAGACAATCCTACTGAGTGAAATTTGTGGAGGAAGATGTGAACTAAGACTTGGTATATACTTAGTTTAGCTGCAAAATTATTTATGTTCCAACTTCACTAAATATTAGCAGTTTTGTTTACTGTCCTCTTGCTGACCTAGGTGCCTTTCTTTGATTGGCTGTACATTCTTACTAAAACAAAGCACTTCTCTATCTAGGTTAGAACTTTGGCTTGCCTTGTTTTCCAGGTAGTAAACTTGAAAAAAAGGCTGAATTATTTCTTTGTTGATACTGTGTGCCATGGAGTCAGAATCAACTCATAGCTGCCCTCCAGTAGGTTTTCAGAGGCAGTTAATTCCACAGGAGGACATTGCCCATCTTTCTCTCATAAAGAAGCTGGTGGATTTGAACTGTTGGCCTTTGAATTGGCAACATAACTCTTTACCACTAAGTCACTAGAGTTCTCAGAATGATTTTTTTAGAAAAGCAAAACTGAAAGTCTTGGCTTAATTAAAAATGGACTTTTTTATTTAGGGCTGATGTGACCCAAGTCAAATAAGGCAGTACTTTGATTATTCTAAAGTACACTAATTCATATACAAAGCAGGTAAAATTGTTGGAATTTCTCAACCACTGCTTTTTTGTGCAATCACAGGCTCAGAAAGTTCAATACTGTCAGCACAAAATGCAGGGCTGGGGACCTCCATCCACATACCTTTCTTTCCTCCAGCTCTGCGAAGACGAAAGGGCCTTTCTAAGACTCCACAGCCAGAGCCCTCAGCAGGTGCTCAGGATCCCCTGAACTGGTTTGGAATTCTGGTTCCTCAGAGTCTGCGACAGGCACAAACCAGCTTCCAGGAGGGTAAGTGGACTTTTCAGGTCCTGTGGTAAATCCTAACTCTTTTCATCCATAAGGAACACTTGAGATACTAGTCCTGGAGCTATTCTACAAAGAGCTTTGCAGGTTTTCTTCATTGCAAATTTTGGTTGGGCATTTACTGGTTAGCGTTTTATTTTAAACAAAGGTATGTACTAGCTTCTGACAGTGTTCTAGGCTAGCAGCTGATAATACAGGAGAGAGCCTAACAGACAAAATCTCTTAGAGTGTTTTTTATAAGAAGGGAAGAAAGGCCCTGTGCAGATGAAAAAAAAGTGGGCTTTTACTGTAAGACTACACCCCAAACCTAATCCACTGCTGTGAAGAATACCTAGCGGAGTACATGTGTTAGCCTGCTAACCTACCTATTTTAGGTGCAAAATTATTTATGTTCCAACGTCACTTAATATTAGCAGTTTTATTTTTGCTGTTGCAGAGTTTGACTCACAGTGACTCTCCATTGGGTTTTCAAGGCTGTAAATGTTGATGGGAGGAGACTGCCCCTCTTCCTCTTACGGCACTGCTGATAGCGTCAGACCAAAGTCTTTTGGGTTAGCAACCCAACACACCATAAGGGCTCCACTAGTAATACAGTACTGAAACTCAGTGCTGTTGAGTCATTGCTGAAATAGAGTGGCCCTCCATCATGTTTTCTTAGAGTGTAAATTGCAATGAGAAAAGACCTTTCTATTCCTCAGCACCATTGGTGGATTTGACCTACCAGAGATGGAAAGCTTTGATTTAACAACACAACTTGCTATGGATTTTGCCACAAGAACTCTTTGGCATCATCTTAGAACTGACTCATAGCTGACCCTCCAGGTCTGAAAGGCAGTAAATGGCACAAGAAGTAATTTCCCATTTTTCTCCCTGATAGCAGTTGATAGATTCAGTCCACTTACTTTTGGGTTGGAAGTGCAACTCTTTACCCACTAGGCCACCACAAGTTCCCTAAATGTACTCCAACATATTATTTGATGTTAATAGGTTGCAGTATAATGAATAGGATTGGACCAGAGTTTTTGTGGTATTGTTAGGTGGTGTTAAGTACAACTCATAGCAACTATATGAACAGATCTGAGCCTATCCTTTGACATCCTTATCAACCCTGACATTCTTGAGCCTATTGCTTGAGTCATGTGTGTCAGCCTGTTTCGTTTAAAAGTCTATTTCTCCATCTTTCTGTATGTGATGTCGCAAGAATTAGCTTTTTCTAACAACATGCCCAAGGTATGTGAGATGAAGCTTCACCATCCTTGCACCTCTCTGGCTGCATGTTCTCTAAGACACATCTGTTCTTTTGGCCATCCATGAATATCAGGAGAGGGGATTTATTTCAACAAATACCTTGTGCTTGTAGAGGCTCGCAAGTCCCAGGTCTTCTAAATAGTAGGAGAGAAATCTACAGCTCCCCATATACCTGAATTTAAAAACTGTTTCAAGAAGAAATTTGAGCCCTTGAACATTAATGAACGAAGACCACGTGAGCTTTGGGAGAATATCATTCATAAAGAATGCAAAAGGTTGTTACAAAGGAAGTTCTTGTTTTGTTGTTATGGTTGTTGTTATTGTTAGGTGCCCTTGAGTTGAGTACAAGTCCTAGCAACCCTATGAACAAAAGATCTGAACCCTGTTCTATCCTGCCATTTCTCACTTCCTGACACACTAAAGCCTACTGTGGCAGCCACCATGTTAGTCCTCCTTTGCTGACCTTCCACCCTTCCAAACATCATGTCCCTCTCCAAGCAGTAGCTCCTCCTAGCATCAGGCCAAAAGTATGTGAGGAGCATTGCTTCCAAAGAGCATTCTGGCTGCGCCTTCTTCAAGACATACTTGTTTGTTCTTTTGGAAGCCTGTGGGATCTTCAGTGCTCTTCTCCATCACCACAGCTCAAAGGCATCAATTTTTCTTCTGTCATCCCAAGTCATCCCACTCTCAGATACATAGCAAGTGATTGGAAAGACCATGCCCTGAATCAGAGTCACTTTTGTCCTCAAACTGACATCACTACTCTTCAATAATTTGGAGAGGTCCCTAACTGCACACTTGCACAGTGCAATGTGTCTCCTTATTTCCTGACTGCTGGTACCAGCTCATGCTCATCTGCCACGATGAGAGTGCCTGGAACCTGGAATACCATTTCAGCAGCTGGTATGACATCCACCTGAGCCCAGTGGGGCACGAGGAGGCCAAATGCAGTGGACAGACCCTGCAAGATGCTGGCTGTGAGTTTGACATCTGCTTCACCTCAGTGCAGAAGAGAATGATCTGGAAGCTCTGGACAGAACTGGACACCATTGACCAGCTGTGGCTGTCACTAGTGAGGAATTGGCACCTCAGAGAGCAGCATTGTGGGAGTCTGACTGGCCTCAGTAAAACAAAAACTGCTGCCAGGCATGGTTGAGGCCCAGGTAAAGATCTGGAGGCTCTCATATGACATACCGCCACCACCACCGATGGAGCCTGACCAGCCCTTCTACAGCAACATCAGTAAAGATCACACGTACACAGACCTGACTTAAGATCAGCTGCCCTCCTGTGAGTCTAAAGGACACTGTTGTCAGAGCCCTGCTCTTTTGGAATGAAGAAATATTTCCTCAGATCAAGGAGGGGAAACGAGTACTGATTGCAGCCCATAGCCTTCGGGGCATTGTCAAACATCTGGAGGGTCCTTCCGAGGAGGCTATCATGGAGCTGAACCTGCCCACTGGAATTCCTGTTTCTATGAATTGGACAAGAACTTGAAGCCCATCAAGCCCATGCAGCTCCTGGGAGATGAAGAAATGGTTCACAAAGCCATGGAAGCTGTGGCTGCTCAGGGCAAGGCCAAGAAGTGAAGCCAAGCACGCAGACTGCTGTCCTAAGTCACACCTTCCCTGCCTGTCCTGTTCCCCTGCACGTATTACACTGACCACATCTGTATACATCTTTAGTTGTAGCTGGGAGTGGGGGGGAAGGAACACACCCACTCCCATTTTATCCATTTTGTCTCCTGCACATTCTCCTAGTCTGGTCAGAATGGCACCTCTGGGCCATGGTCCTCAGTCCAGGATGTAGGGAAAACTCATCCACAAGAGGTAGTGACTCCAGAGTTTTTGCTAGTAGTTTATTTATTAAGGACCTATCTGAGTAGGAGATAGGAGCTATGCCAGGTATGATACAAAGGTAAGCAAGATAGCCTAGTCCTATTGCCAGGAGCCAGTGTCCTGTTCTGTAGTAGGGGCACGCTAGCCATTCCAGTGGAAGATGACTGTAATCCACTTGCTGATTAAACCGTCTTTCCTCCCTTTCAACCCCAGAGGAGTTGGCTCCAGGAGGTTGGGATCAAGCCTGAATGTTTATGTGTTGCATTTTCTTTTACAAAAGAAAAAAAATTACATAAAAGACAAAACCCCTTTTAGGGTTCCTGGTGGCAGTTTGGATACCACGCAAGAAAATAAGCCATTCCTCGCCCCATGGGGGAAGGGCTCCGTGACCTCTTAGGGCTTGGAGTTCATCCTGCTGTGTGTTATAGAATCCTTCCATTGCCTTACTGTTTGTGAGATGCCTGTAGACCATGTCTAGATGTGTCTCCTCTGTGTTTTCTGAATCATGTTCCCGTTGCTGGGCCCTGACACTGGGGCCCAGAACCCAATTTCAACATAACTATACTAAAATATTTTTTCCAGATCATTATAATAAAAGAGTGCTGTGCAATTAAAAATAAATAAAAGAAAAATATTTTGCCTATTGATATAATGGTTAGAATCTTGTATTTTCTTGACATTGAGATATAATATATATTGAAGGGTACGTTCCTTGATCTTCTGCAGCAAGTGCTTCAAGGTGGTGACACAAACAAGGTTGTGTGTGCATAATGTGAGTTACTGATAAGTCCACCTTTGATCCTGATGCCACATTCCTCTTCATAGAGTCCAGCTTCTCAGATAATTTGCTCAGCATACAGACAGGAGGAAGAAAAGACCAAGACAGATATCAGGAAAGACACAATTGTTGACCGAGGGTAAAGACTAAAAAAACGAGACAGAACAACAAGAATGTATAAGTAAATAGGTAAAGTAGGTGAGCCGTTTGAAACAACTGAAGCACCAAACCCAGCTTTCCTGTGCCTTTCTTGAAAATTGCCAGGGAGCAAATCACAAAGAGAATGCTATGCAAATGAAGCTAAGCTTTTTCTATTGAAAATCTTATGCTTGACTCAGAAGGGAAGGGTGAGCAAACAATGCAAGAATTGTGTAACTGCTTAAGGTCTCCCTTAGCACTTATCCCTTGTGAACACCTAAGGTCTGCCTTGATGCTTCAGGGTAAATTCCAGCTTGTATCCATGACTCCCTCATATCCTGATACAGCATTTGGTTTATTATAAATATTTAGTATGACTTCCTACATTTTCCCCTTTTTGTTTATATCATAATTATGTCATCTAGAGGAGCACGATTTCTTATCTTTGATTCATTCTTGTTTGATTTTGTTCTTTCCATCATTTATGCACAAGGAAAAAAAAATATAACAAACAAAATAAGCTCACAAAAATGCTTCCAAACATCTCCATATGATCAGAAGGATTCAGGTTGGATATGCCTTCACTATCCCTTGTGGAATAGCTATGTTGTTAAAATAATCCAATTGCTTATCAAAAGCAGAATGAATCTGAGCATGTAATTTCAGTATATCGTCTTTGAAATTACCAGGATTCATTCCTTTAAGTATGATTCCACTTTACTGGAGTAATGCAAAACTGTGCAGTATTCTAATCACATTTTAATTTTACTTGTTTTTGAAAAGCCCATAACTTTTCAGGATCTTAATGCCATGTTTTTACATCAACTGAGGTTTAAATATTTGATGCAAATCCAAGCCAGCTGTAGTAGCAGTGGCAGTAATGGCGATACTTCCCAAAATTGCTAATTCAAATGACTTTTTTATAATTTTTAAGTAATTGTTACCAAGTATTACAAAATAGTATTTTCAAAGGATGATTGCCA